ACGGAGGAAATTCTGGGGGGAAATATATTGACACTCAATTTATGCAATCAAACCCATGAATTTTTTATATATATAATTAAAGTATTTGTATTTTTTCTTTAATTAAATTTGGTATAATCATTAAGGGTTCGATATATTTTTTTTAAAATTCTTTAAAATGAACGTTCGAGTGCAAATTGAAACGCATTCCAAAAAAACCATTTTATTTATATTGTTAAAACAAAGATTATTATCAGATTTTATTTATAAGATTACATTAAATATATTATTATTGCATGTCTAAGAGTAGGGGTGTACAAATCAAACCATAAAGTCAAATCGAACCGACAAACCAAATCAAATCGAAAAAAACAATTTGTGGTTTGGTTTGGTTGGTTTGGCGTTTGAAAAAAAACCCGACCATTCTTGGTTTGGTTTGATATTAAAAGAAAAAAAGTCAAACCGAACCCAAACCAAACCGACATAATATATATATTTTATTTATAGATAAAAAAAATAGTAATGTGTCCACGTGGGCACATATATACCTTTAAAATACACTATTAAATAGTGCAAGAGGGTAAAAGGTCCTCCATTTGGTATCGTAACAGCGATTTCGGCCAAAGTTTGAGTATTTTTCAGACCCTTTTCCCTATATTTTATTTCAAATTTGGGCTTGTAAAATTTGTAAATATTTTAGTTTGTATTAAGATTACAATTATATTGTTATAGTTTTTCAAATTCAATGTTAACAATTTACTTTGTAAATATTTCATTTTGTATTCAGTTTGACTGTATCCTTTAATCTTTTTAATTTAACATAATGAATGTTGATATTTCAAAAATAAAATAAAATTGTACTCATGTGAATTTTACCGTGTTTACAAAAATTTCTATTCATTTAACATTTCTTAAGTTTAGTTTATCACACAGGTAAGTGAAAATATATTTGATCTCTTTTTCAAACACCGTAAAGTTATAAAAAACCGAAAGTACCGACTAAAATCGAAACCGAAAAAACCAACTTTGCGTGGTTTGATTTGATTTTTAGATTTAATAAACCGACATAATTAATTTAATTTTTTTAAAATAAAAAATCAAACCAAATCGACCTATGTACACCCCTATCTAAGAGTAAGTAATTTCCAACATTAACAGCTTATAAACATTTTGTTTTGGTCTCCATCGTAAAATGTCACTGGAAAAGAAGAAAAATATATAAAAGAAAAAAGAGCTTAATCATGTGCTAATTTTTATAGGACTTCCTTAAATAAAAAAAAGGCTAAAAGAGGATGTATTTATGTAATTTAAGTTTCGTACTGTACACACGTGCAACTTGATTAGCTAAGAAAATCGTTTCTTATTTTTATTTCCTTCTCTGTATTTATATATATAAAAGAGTTAAAAAAGAAAAAATAAGTGATTAAACAAAATTATATAAATAACATTAATGATAAGATGAAGATTAAGAAAAAACGTCAAAAAAATTAGTAGTATTGATGATGATAAAAGTTAAATAAATCATTTTTTCTATTATTAAAATTTTTAACATAAAATTTCCAATCTTTTAAAATTAAAAATAAA